TTATTTTATTATAATATTTTTGAATAAAATACATAAATTTTAATATATATCGGGGTCCGAATTTGGGTCTAATTTTGAATTAAATTTTACGAATTGTTAAAGTTTTGTGGGGCCTGTCCAGTCTATCGAGTCCTGTCGGGTATTGTTCAGGTCGTGTTCGAGTCTCTGGTCCAGCATTGAATATTTGGGTGGGGTAAAAGGTTTAGGGATCATGTAGTTGAACACTGAGGGATTCGACTCTTCCAATTTCTACCAGGAAATTGTAAAGCATCACTGGACAGGCAATTTCCTCCAACTGGAGCTGTTGCATGAAGTCGAATTCAACCTTCAACAGTCTCGGGTGATAATCCAACTGCAGTTAGGTATAAGAGCCGTTGCATTTGATGATAGCCTGGAGCACTGACAGGGTTGTTATCCTAGCCACTGCATTTGTCGAACACAAGATCCCTAAGCCTTGGTGCAGCCAAATTGAAGTTCCCGAAATTCCATCATCTCTTCATGGTTAGGGTTTCCAGCCAATATCCATGGAGCGTACATTTGGTAAAGTGAGGGTATCTCAAGTGATTGAGAAACCCACCTTCAGGCTCCATCACTAAGGACCCGGCTTTCATATCGTCCAATAAGTATTTGCTGCAACACTTCTTTAATTTATGAATTTTGCAGCACAAAAGTTTAGACTTGAATCTAACTCAATCAATGATTCAAATATTCTTTAATTACTACTTTACATAACGCAGTTACCATGGAGTATTTGATTTCAAAGCCAAGATCTGTCCACTCAGATAAATGAAGAAATATGGTCATGATCTATTCCCAATCTCTAGCCGAATCCTCATTTCATTGCTTCAACTAAAGCATCAACAGACAAAGTAGAATCAAACAAGAATGTCAACAACATAGAAGTAATCAATCCAAATCAGAACAGAAAACCCTAATCGTAATTATGTGAAATAAAATGAGGGCAGGGGATTTCTGGGAAGAAGAAAGAAGAAAAGCCGTATCAACAGTCTGATTATGTTGTGCTATGTCCTTCACGGTTTCCTATTTTAATAATGTTAAAACGAAGTTTCTAGATTTTCAATATTTTTTTAATATTTTTTTTTTACTTATTTATGCTAATTTATTCTATATTTTTCTTTACTTTTTATATCATGCAGTGTATTGTAGTTTCTGGATTAGGGAATGTTTCGCAATTAAGTGTTAGCTTGTAGTTGTTAGCTGATTCGATTAGTACTTAACAATTAGCTGATCCGATTAACTGGTTTGAATAGCTGAATATATTAGATGTATTTACTAAAGTGTTGTTAAAATAGTAGTTTTGTATAAGTTGTTAATACGTAAAATATCAATTAAAGATATTTTAATTTTTTTTAAAAAAAATATTTATTTAAGCTTTTCGGTGGGTAAGCTTTTTTATAATATTTATTTTTATTATTTTTTAAATATTTTGTAAAAAATAATGTAATTTTATTGAAAAATATAATTTTTTTCATTAAAAATACTATAAATAAGAAAATAAAACTTATTAGTATATGTATTTTTATTATTATAATATTTTTAATTAATATTTATTTTTATTAAAATAATAATTTTAAATAAATATATTTATTTTTAATAAAAAAATTTATGTGATAAAATATATATATATGAATTAATAATATTAAAATTTTTATTTATCTTTATTCTAAAAAAATTTACAAATTTTTATAAAAAAATTATTGGACATATAGTTAATTAATAATTTTAAATTTATAAAAGTGAATTCATAAGGTATTAGAAGAAAATATTCAAATATTTAATAAATAGTGTAATAAAAAATATTAATATATATGAAAAAAATTAATTAATTTTAAGAACAAATAAAAAATTAAAAAGGTAATATGAAATGTTGGGATATACACAGTATTTCCAAATACTCTTTTCCAAACACCCTAGGATTGATTGTTTTTGTTTCGTATGCATATTTATCTATATATTTTTAATCATTTAATTAAAATTAACATATAATAATATCTTATCTATTATTTTAATATTCTATTAATTATTCAATATCTTTAATTAACATATAATAGCTATGCATCTTTTCCCCTAGAAGTTTGTAAGGACATTTAAAAAAAATAGAGTATGACCCTCAACATTCTCGATTCGGCTGTGGACTGCCTAAGTGTTTCAAACATACTGATCTCCCCGGGACATAAAGGTTGTCCAAACATGTACCTGAGCCATGGCCAGACACCTAGAGGAGGTGGATTGGCTTCAAATCCTGCAGATATTCCAAATAGGTCCTGATGCTCGTGAGAAGCACAATTTGAAATTCCTTGGATACCTCGTTCGCCTGTAGCTATAAAACTTGAGGAACTCATGTCCCTTTTTCCAAAAATACGAGCAACCTTAGCTCATGTTTTTGCAAAAGAGTCACCTTCTCATGTTGGAGAGACGATGATGCTGCGGAAATCTATCATAATGTGTGATGCCTTTAGACTTAGCTTTAAAACGTATTCAGACACAAACAATCACATTGGTCTGTCTGTTTCGTAGTTGAGGATAAAGTTAGCACTATGTCTCCAACAATTTCTCCCATTTCTATTTCCAATTGAGTTTTTGTCCAATTTCTCTACAGCTGCGTCCCATCAGTTCCTGTCCTATATCTTTTTAAGTCATGTTGGACATGGGTCCAAAAGCACCTGAACGAGAAGGAGACTCAAAGACAAAAGTGAAGCCAGAGCTTATTGGCCACGGAGCCGCTCAACAACAATGGAGCTTCAAGCCTCGAAACCAAAGACTGCTGCCTCCACAGAGCCTAAGACAACAGCTTCCAGCGATTGTGGTGCTTCCACAAGGCCGAAAGCAGTAGCCGCTATGGACCTTAGGACAGCAACTCTGTGACGCCTCCATCCCGGAACAATGTTTCCATAAGGTCACAAATTGCTGCCTCCATTGGGTTAAAAACAACTACTTCCATTGGACTGCGGTGCTTCAACAAAGCAGAGGAAGGTTGCTTCCAGAAGATAGAAAGCAACAACTTCAACAAATCATGAAATAAATACCTCCGTTGGTCCTGGGTTAATAATTTTATACTGAACATTAGTGGAGGGCTTATGCCCTTTCATACTTTATTCAAAAAGTTCCATGGAACAAGCCAACAAGAGAAAAATTGAAGATTCCATTTAATTTGAGGCTGTTAGGGACACATCCCCGTGGACCGGCTAGAAGTACGATGGAAACAAGTCGGAGTAAGCGGCAGATCTGGTCTAGATGCAATGGAAGAAGTTTGGAACAAGTGGAACCCGGTCCAGTGGCAATGGAAGCGGTTGGGAGCTGATGGAAGGAGGTTACAAGGTGGTTAGGAGCCGATGGAAGGAGGTTACCAGGGAACTGATGGAAGGAGGTTACCAAGCAGTTGGAGGTAGTGGTGGGAGGTTACCAGACGGTTGAGAGTGGTGGAAGAATAATTAGAACTACCCCTTTTAGTGGAAAAGGTGGTTATTCTATCTTAGGATTAAAAGTAGGAAAAAACACACCACACACACGCACAAGAATAAGATAGAACAATTTTATCTAGTTGTGCGTGTGTGTGATGTGTTTTTTCCTACTTTTAATCCTAAGATAGAATAACCGTCTCTTCCCACTAAAAGGGGCAGTTCTAATTATTCCACTACCACTCTCAACTGCCTGGTAACCTCCGACCGCTACCTCCAACTGCTTGGTAACCTCCTTCCATTAGTTCCCTAGTAACCTCCTTCCATCGGCTCCTAACCACCTCGTAACCTATTTCCATCAGCTCCCAACCACTTCCATTGCCTCTGGACCGGGTTGCACTTGCTCTGAACTTCTTCCATTGCCTCTGGACCAGAGCTTCCGCTTACTCCGACTTGTTTCCATCGTACTCCTAGCCGGTCCACAGGGATGTGTCCCCAACAACATCAAGTTAAATGGAATCTTTGGTTTTCCTCTTGTTGGCTTGTTCTATGGAGCTTTTTGAGTAGAGTGTGGAAGTGCATAAGCCCTCCACTAATGTTCAGTACGAAATTATTAACCCAGGGCCAACGGAGGTAGTTATCCCATGATCTGTGGAAGCTGTTGCTTTCTATCTTCTGGAAGCAACCTTCCTCTGCTTTATTGAAGTACCACAGTCCTAAGAGTTGTTGTCCTAAGGTCCAAAGAGTTGTTGTCCTAAGGTCCATAGAGGCTACTGCTTTCGGCCCTATGGAAGCACCACAATCGACTGTAAGCTATTGTCTTTGGCTCTGTGGAGGCAGCAGTCTTTGGCTTCGAGGCTTGAAGCTCCATTGTTGTTGAGCAGCTCCGTGGCCAATGAGCTCTGGCTCCACTTTTGTCTTTGAGCCTCCTTCTCGTTCAGGTGCTTTTGGACCCATGTCCAACAATGCCCTCCTCAAAAGGGCTGGGCGATTGCTTTCATTGAGCCCATGTCGTTTTGCTTTGGGCCGTTCACTTGAATCAATTGTTGTCACTTCTGTCGACAAGGGATCCTCTTGTGCCTTCACTTCTTGGACTTCATTTCCATCCCAAAACATCAACATTTGATAGAGTATCGAAGGCACACACTCACATGCATGAATCCAATTCCGTCCCAAGAGAGCCGAATAGAATGGCCTACTTTCAATCACCATGAAATTTGATGATATTTCCTTTGTCCCCACCCGCATATTCAAAGTGATCATATCTTCCGGTTTGTAAAAATTTCCCACAAAATTGGTAAGCCGTACAAATGTAGAAATCAAATTGTCACTAGTCTTTCCGAACATCCGTATGGTCTCAATTGGCAACACATTCACAGAATCTCTACTGTCCACCAGAACTTGGTCAAGCGGATAGCCATTCATCGAGACCCGAATGTGCAAAGGCTTGACATGTTGGTTTTGGCCAGGCCCGAGCCTCTTAAATTCTATCATTGTTACCACATCATTCCATTCGAAGATAGGCTTTTCATCAAAGAAAAATTTCTCTAACACTTGAACTTCTTCCGGAGGCTCCTCTACTTATTTCCTTTTAGGAAAGGACTCCATAGTCTGGTTCCTTAACGGCTCCACAGCCTGCTTTCTTTCTGGAAGTGGTTCCACAACCTGTTTCCTTTCTAAAAGCGGCTCCACAACCTGCTTTCTTTCTAAAAGCAGCTCCAGAACTTGTTTCCTTAGCGGTTCCACAGCCTGCTTTATTTCTTGAAGCGGCTCTGCAGCCTGCTTGGTCTCTGAAAATGACTCCACAGCGTGCTTCCTTTCTGAAAGCGACTCCACAACCTGTCTTCTCTCTGAAAACGGCTTCAAAACTTGCTTCCTTGGCAGCTCCATGACTTGCTTTCTTTTTGGAAACGGCTTCACAACCTTCTTTTTCTCTAAAAGTTGCTCCATAGCCTATTTTTTCTCGGAAAGCGGCTCCACAGCCTGCTTCCTTGCAACTTCATGGCCTGCTACCTTGGCGCCTCCATGGCCTGCTTTCTTTCTGGAAGAGGCTCCACAGCCTGCTTCGTTGGAGCCTCTATGGCCTGCTTCTTTTCTGGAAGTGGCTCTACAACTTGCTTATTTTTTTAAGGCGGCTCCATGGCCTGCTTCCTTAGCGGCCCCATAGCCTGCTTCCTTAGCGGCTCTGCAGCCTGCTTTCTTTCTGGAAGCGGCTCCATAGCCTGCTTCTTTTTTGGAGGTGGCTCCATGGCCTTCTTCCTTGGCGACTCCATGGCCTGCTTTCTTTCTAAAAGCGGCTTTACAACTTGCTTCTTTTTTTTAGGCAGCTCTATGGCCTGTTTCATTAGCGGCTCTGCAGTCTGCTTTCTTTCTGAAAGTGGCTCCATAGCTTGCTTTTTTTTTTAGGCGGCTCGTGTGACCTTTCCTCCTCTATGCGAGCCTCCAACTCTCTTCTTTGAGCTCGCCTCTTTTGAGTCCCGGTGAGTCCACTTATTTCCCCCTTAGTGGAAAGCTTCAGTTTATTCACAATCCATTTTTCATTCTCTTTCATGATAGGAGGCTTCCGTGTCACCTTGGCAATGATGGTGATCTGGTCAGCCGTGGTAACAGTCCAAATCTGTTTCCCATTTGTGATTTTCACTTCTGCTACGATGACCTCCGGCTTGTGTCGCTTGTATACTTTATTCTTCTCCAATCCTGAGGCTTTTGGACTTGGGATGGTGACACCGACATTAAGCTCCATCTTGACCATCCTTTGTCTTATTTTCCCCATGTTCAAACTTGAGGCTTTGTCAAATGTCACTATTGTGAAGACGGCTTTTAACGGGTGCCTTCAGTCCTAGAAAGTCTTGAACCAAAGGTTTTGACGGCTGGGTGCTAAGCCTGTCTTTCATAAGCCCTTTAGCCGACATGGTATTATCAAAAGGAATAAACCCTTTCGTCGGCTTCAATGCCGGGCACAAATAAGTCTTTCCATTTGCTAATTTCGTGGCCAAAGCTTTTGCCTCTGCAAAGTTCTTTTCGTCTGAAGTCGCTACGGCTTCTACCTCTGCAGGCTCCTTTTCATATGGAACCTCCATAGCCTCTTGAGTCTCTTCCGCTACAGCCTCCTTTTCGTATGGAGCCTCCATAGTCTCTGGAACCTGTGTCCCTGTGGAATCATTTTCATATGGAGCCTCTGCCCTTACATCTTCATTTTCGTTAGAAGCCTCCATGGTCCCTAGAGTCTATGCCTCGGAAAATTTTGGAGCTTCCATGGCTTCTGGAACCTCTGCTTCCGCATACTCCTTTTTGACTGAAGCTTCCATAGCCTTTGGAGTCTCTGCCTCCGCAAACTCTGGAGCTTCCTTGGCTTTAGAAACCTCTGCCTCTTCAAACTCCTTTTCGTTTAGAGCTTCCACAGCCTCTGAAGTCTCTGCCTCCGCAAACTCTGGAGCTTCCATGGCTTCTAGAACCTCTGCCTCTGCAGACTCCTTTTCGACTAGAGCCTCCACAACAACTGGAGTATTTGCCTCCGTAAACTCTAGAGCTTCAATGGCTTCTGAAGCCTCTGCATTCACATACTCCTTTTCGACTAGAGCCTTCACAGCATGTGGAGTCTCTGCCTCCGCAACTCTAGAGCTTCCATGGCTTCTGGAACCTCTGCCTCTACAAACTCCTTTTCAACTGGAGCCTCCACAACATCTACAGTCTCTTCTCCTGCAACTTCTTTTCCGTATGAAGGCGAATTTTCCGCGCTCAAAGTGGCACTAGGCTTCTCTTTAAACCTTCTTTTTGAAAATGCCCTCCTTATGCAATCTGCGATGACATCAACATCCATTAGAGGCTTGGCCTCTCGTTGATTTTGTGTTAGCGGCTGCACTCCAGCTGTCTGTTGATGGAAGGTTGGCGGCTGCATCTCCGTGGCCTGCCATTTTTGCCCCTGTGTTTTGATGATCCCCTTCCATTGGAGATTAGCCATGTTTGGACCGTGACATCCCCATGGTGGTGTTGGCGCATTCCACATAGGTTGTGCGCTTAATCGCCCTGACGGGATCATGCCAAATGTTGAAAATTTGCTTGCCCCTCGTGGAGGCTCAGCACTGCTCTTCAAAACTCCAACAGCCACGGGGTTCCAGTGCACTGCAGGCTGTCGCCAGCCTTTCACAGGCTGTTGGCTCCAGCCATCCGCAGGCTGTTGGTTCCAACCTTCCGTAAACTGGTGGTTCTAGCCCTCTACAGGCTGTTGGTTTCACCGCTCCGCAAGCTGTTGCCAGCCTTCCACAGATTGTTGGCTCCAGCCATCCGCAGGCTGTTGCTTCCAGCTTCTTGCAGGTTTTTGGTTCCAGCCATCCGCAGGTTGTTGCTTCCAGCTTCATGTAGGTTGTTGGTTCTAGCCATCCGCAAGTTGTTGGAACCAGCCTTCTGCAGACTGGTGGTTCCAACCCTGTTGGTTCCAGCCTGTTTTTGTCTGCCCCGACCTTAAGGTGGTACAAATGAACCCCATGTCAACCTCGACATCACTCTTCGAAAAATCTGACTTTGGTCCCACCAGGCGTGCCAATTGTTGGATCCTAAAATTCGAAGGTTCCAAGACCGTTGGTCGATTTGTCGGTGTGGGTTCCGAAAGTACCCCAAAGAGCCTGTCCGTCATCGGATTTTGGGTGGCTCCTTTGATGGAGCCTGCACGGCTTTGAGCCTAAGCGAGGCTTCGAGCCTAAACAAGCAATTTCGATGGACTTAAACTAACATCTACTAAAACTTGGATAAATCTACTGAAATATTAGCAGAAATTCCGTACTATGCATGATTATCTTTATACTAAAACATATATATTTATTTAATATGTTTTTATATAAATAATACTTATAGGGTGGGTTTACTTTGAAGGATTTCTCAATGGATTAATATAAGGTTTAGTTGTATGATTAAATATTAAATAAAATTATATTATATTTACTTTGTTTGATTATATGATATGAATATTCTTTCTTACTCAAAATATCCTTAATTCGATTTATTGTATTATGATTTTATATACATATTACTTATATTTTTATTTGATTTTAATATAGAGTAAATGAATTATACATATATATATATGTGTAATTTTAAAAAAAATCTTTATTTTCTATGAGTGTTTTTAATAAATATATGGGTGTTTTTTTATTGTGATTTCAAATTGAAAACAACATTATTCACCTTACATAATGTCCAGTAAAAATACATTCTTTATTCTCATAATAATAATAATAATTGGTTGAATAATATTAAAAATAATAATACTTTGAATCACGATAAATGATATAATAATAATAGTAGTAGTAGTAGCAGTGGTAGTAGTAATACTTTGATCAGAATAAATGAATTTTAAAATCTTAAAATTTCTCATGCTTGGTGGTGAAACTTGAAAATATCATGTTAATTAACCAGGTAATAAATTGCATAGGTTGTAGATACTATTAAGAATGAATGATTATAATAAAACGTTTGGTCCTGATTTTCCAAATTGAATTGTTCCAACAAAATAGCGTAACACTGTTTTTGCAGCACCAAAGCAATGTTGTGAATTAAGGACAATGCATAAACCTGGAAAGTACTCCCATAAAGAAAGCAATATCTAGACGTAAATGCCCCAAATAAATCAATCATCCAATCAAGCTTCTAAATTGTTTTTCATTTGCTTGTCTAGAACCATCGTTAATCTGTAACTTCTCATTCAAGTTTGTAGTTATTGTTGCAACCTTACAATTCAGCATATTAAACATTTTCAACAAATCAACAACGTACTTTTTTTGAGACACAAAGATAGGAATCTATTTTTCCATACTATGCACACGGAGCTTGTTTAAACATGTACAAGGCTTTGTGCAGCTCTCTTCAATATCTTCAATTATAAATCATTCAGGTTGAGTAACATAGATCTCCTCCTCTAAATTGCCATTCAAAAATGTTAGATTTCACATCAAACTGTAGTCCAGCTGGAGCAAGAAGGGACCGCAGCTGCAGCTGCCGCCACCTCCTCTACCATGGTTGACATGGAGGACTGCTACTATGGCCACTACGAGGATGAAGCAGACAAAAATTTTGGTGACATATACCTCATTCGTAGATCCTCAGGTCTCCGCATTGGGAATCGGAGATGGGGCGACAACGGCTATGGCCGAGCAGGATGGCAAGAAGCAAGACCTGTAGTTCATTCTACCTCTCCTGACCCAACCTCTGCTGGCTAGTCCCAACAGAACAAGCAGACCACTTCTAAGGAAGTTGTCGGCTGCCGTGCCAAGAGGGCTCCGAAGGGTGAAGCCTCCGACAAGGCAATGGTAGTGAAGCATCAACAGCCTCTTGCGAGGTTTGGCTGGAAGATGTAGTAGGTGTGTCTGTCTGTCTGACTCTCTTTCTGTCAGGTAAGATGTATTTTAAGATGTATTTTCTTTGGTAGATCGCCTTAGATCAAAATAGATAATGGACTGGACTGATAATTTGCTTGTATTTGCATTATGTACTGTAGATTTTGTTTTGCATACAAATTCTATCTCTAACATTTTGGTTCATTCTTTTAGTCACAATTTTTATTTTTGTGTTTGTTGAATTATTGCGGTAAATAATTTTTTAGTGTGCTTGATGAAATGGTTCAATTTTTTTTTTTTTTTTTCATATAATATATTCCATATAATATTGGCCAATACAATTTTGGACTATAGAATAAAAGCCATACTAAACATTTCATAAATTCACATTGTACAAATACTATTTTATAAACGACAAATTATTAACAAAAACAATTCAATAAAGATGAAATAAGAATGTTGTTAAAAGAATGATCCGACCATGTTAGAGATGAAAGTTTGAGTGTAAGAAAAATGAAATTTACCATACACAATGCAAATGCAGTCCAAGTCATTATATGTTTTGGTCTAAAGCATCTTATTTGAACTGCCAAAGAAAATACTGTACAAGAAATGGCGCAT